CAGCCCACTCAGAGATAATGTCATTTATCTCAGGGAGGCACAAGCCCAGTCATTAGCTTCAATAAAAGACCTCAAACAAAGGCAGGATAATGTTTTACCCAGGGCTCTTACTAAACCCAGAACCAAGAATCTTAGTGCCTAAAAGTCACGAATTAGAAAGTTATTCTTAAAAAAGTATTTTGCTCATTATCGACAATGCTAGACTACATCTCTGAACAAGAGCATGGTCTATATATAGTAAACACCAATCCTAAGCACTATCACACACAATTAGATTAACCATAAATGTTGACCAAGGTTAGCCTGTGAGAGCACCCCCCACCTCCAGGAGGAAAATTGACAGAATAATTCAGGTACTAACTAAATAGTCAGATCTTTGAAGAACTGACCCCCACCCCCATTGTGAGTGCCTGCAGGAACCAAATAACCATTATAAAGTGGTCAATGGCCGAGCTTCTGGAAATCTTTTAAATAAAAGTGGAACTGGTTAAAATAAATGTAGGAACATGTGTTTTCACAGTGTTGCTCATATTACTGCAATTTCAAGTTTCTATGAAGTACCAGGTGAACTTTTTTTAAATTAAAAAAACACACACACAGACACCATCAAAATTGGAGCAAATCTCAGCCATCCAATCCCTGTTTTTCATGCTGAAAACGAAGAACAGATGGTACTTTCCATGTTGTTTGAATCTGGTTATTGAACACCTCTGTGGTTAGGGAGATTTCTGCTTAGCACTTTCGGCATACATTTCATTTACTAACTATAAAATGCTGCTTAGGAAAAATAAGTCTTTATAACACTCTAATTAAAACCATCTTGCAGCCGAGCAATTTCACTTAAAGAGCATTCTTAACCTCATGACATTTGGACAATCAATCCCCCCACATACACTTTTTGTTTTAAAGACTATTTGTAAAGTTATTAAAAGTTGCTAACTATTATCTTCTTTAGCTCAATCTTAAACAGTTGTGCATATTTCTTAATCTCTCCAGAAAATACTAAACTCAGGATTCAGGGATGAACCTGATCACAAAAGTGCTCCAAGCTACCCCCATGGGTTCTCACAGAAATGCTCCTTGGGGAAAGGGTAGCCCTTCTGCACCCACCTCAAAAAGCCCTGTCACCTTCCAGGGAAGCCTACAGAAAAGTAAGGAGCTGGATTAATGCTGACTGGGAGCCACTCTTAGTTACCAACATTTCTAACAGCTAAATCCCTTATGTAGCTTTCAAAACAGTTTGCTGTCCAACAACAATGGACTTTGTTCTTTAATTATAGCAAGTGACCTTCCTGCCCTTTATTTCACCATAGATAATCTGCACTCTCTAAGCAGAATTCATAAGGGGCACTATATCTGGGGGAAAAAAATCATCCACAAAACTCATTAATCAAAATATGTTCTTAAATTGCTCACACTCACTTAGAAAATGTGCCAGAATTCCCTAGTGAGGTGTAAAAAGGCTCTGCAAGAGAATAAAATAAAATGAATGATATCTTTTATAGGCAGTCCATTTATAGATAKCACCTTTAGGATGACAAGGACCATCTTAATGAAAGCAATATGATATTACAGAAATAATTCTCTTTGGGGAATATATATTGAATAGGACCCTAAGACACAACTATGTGACCTCTGTGTTTTTCATTTCCATTTAAGCATCAGCTGCTTTGAAGAATCTTCAAATTATCTAGCGATCAAATAAACCCACATACAATACTCCATAGAAATGTTTATTTATCCCAGACGAATGCCTCCCTCTCTGATAAGTCAAAACTATAAGACCTATAAGACCGTTAAGGAGGACACATAAAGAAGGGCTTCAACACAAGACTATTATGCATCAAAAGGAAGGAGGGGGGAGGTGGAGTGGCAGGTTTTAACATCCAAAAGCCAACCCATCAAATCTACTTATTCAGACATGTCACTGGTGGCTTAACCACGAAATGGGCTACAGAAATATAGCTCCAACATCTTAGAATTATGGCATGTTTTGATTTTGTTCACGTATTAAGGGAGTGGCGACTTTTACAACATGCTTGTGGTTTCCACATAAAGGAGTAGAACACTCACTCATTTAATTAGGTTTCATAAGGTCCAATTTATCATGTTTTACATGACTTTGTATAGTGAAGAAACAGAATAAACACACCAAAAAATAGACATTTAAGCATGCTGTGAAAATTAACCAGTGACAGCAAGTCTTATGAATCTCCTGTGAACCTTCCAAGGCAGGGTGGGCAAATGCGCACACACCTACACTCCCCTTTGGTTTTCACATGCAGCCCCTCGTGAGACACATCTGATTGCTGAAAATTAATCATCTTCACTTTTAAGGTTCTGGCTTTTCACAAACTCAGATAATCAAGCAAGGCTGAAATTAAAACACTGTATTTTTTTTTTTTAATACCCTTCCTTAAGGGCTAGGGATAATGGTTCAGTAAAGAAGAGCGCTTGCCTGGCATGCAGGAGGCCCTGGGTTCAATCCCCAGCACCACCTAAAATAAAATAAAACCTTCCTCCAAGATGCCTCAGAGTTGAAACATTTGTCAGGTGAAGCTTGTCCTACTCAATCTTTATTTCCTAAATAGGTATCTTCATATCATTAGGAAGTATTTTCTAAATTGAAGCCTAATTTGCCATAACCACTAGTTAGTGAAATTAGAGTTACTTCCCTGGGTGGCATTCATGCCAGGGAGTGCCATCTTTGTGTGCCAAGGATGAATGCATTCTTAAGTCCTTCTGGGGTGGAGTGGGATGGGGTGGGAAGGAAAGGCTTAAGGAATGAATTCTGAGATCCTGAGCCAACACCCCAGCTTGCCGAGAATGGCCAACACTGCAAGATCCAAGCACTTCCAAATCGTCCCAAGAGGACCTTTGTGCCAACTTCAGTGGCTAAGGTTGGCAGTGCAGCTTCCTTCCCTCTTAGGGCCAGGAGTGAATCTAAGCATCATGTGCTCTCTCCCCTTCCCCATTCCAGCCCCACCATGACTTGTTTGCTCTTCATTTGCGTAATTCATATGATCACATTTATACTGCTCTGACTGAAGATGGGTTGCGTGTATATGAATAATTTAATTCTTCCATTCTTCATCCAGTTTCCTCTGTGACTGGAAAGTGAAAAGAACACAAAAACTGGAGAACCGACACCAAGCTCTAATCTCAGTTGCCATGACAGCAGCCTTTGAGATCCTGAAATGTTCCGATTGCCAGCTAAACAAAATTGTTGAATGTGAACATTTGGCTGGAAGATTAAAAGGCTAAGGGGAATGCAAAAGGGCAGTACCTCCCACATTCCAGGCAGCCAGTGAATCCAATCAAATGCCTCTGACTCCTTAACCACAGCCATTGTGAGCACAGGATTAGGGCAATTCATCTAGATAGTTAAAGCAGATTAGAACTGCAATTTGAAGACTATTGGCAACAAAAGTAAATGCCCTACTGTACTAAGTAATAAGAACATTTCAAAACGCCTTTTAGTAGAAATTATGTGAAACTGCACACATTTAAACATAAGAACCAAAACCTGGGATTTTTAAAGGCTGATTTAAATTCATCAATGTAGAATGCTGTCTAACCAAAAGGATAAGAATTTTAAAAAGCGTTCAGTGGTCCTTTCCAAGTTTGGCATTTTTAGCTACACTTAATATACCTCTGTCAACTTCTAAAATCAAAACTTTATTCCTAAAGTCCTTTTTGAATCTTGAATGCACAAAAACAAAAATAAAAAGGTTTAAATAGAGAACCATGAATAACTGTACACAGAAACAGTGTCCCAAAGATATGTACCACCACTTAAAATTCTGATCAGCAAAGAGCAAAAATCAAATCATTTAATAAGCATATTTCCAAACAACCACACTACGAGCCACATGATAGAAATGCTGCTTCTGCAAGGCACAACCTGTAGAATTAATCTAAAGGTTAATTTTACAGAAAGATCACTTACACCCCAATTAGCTCCTAACCTGCCTGGTGGACACAGCAGACATTACTCAATGCACAACATTCACATCCCAGACCAGCAAGACACAGGCCTCCATTCCTAAGCAGCAAAACATTGGGGGCAGTTTTCCCAAGGCAGTGTTAAACTGCAGAATTTAAGACAATAACAAAGATGGGGGAAAGGACCCAAATGGTCTAAATCAGCATTGTTCAAGTGCAACACACAATCTAGTATTCAGCCTCATTCCTGTGGTCTACCCCTTTGGCTATGTCTTCACAGTTCAGGAACATTAGTCCACCAAGTCTATTTTACTCTTCTTACAGCTTTTCAGCTCCCCTGTGAAGCTGGCACCCAAGTGATAACACAAATCTCTAGCTAAAAACTTGGTGAGGGAACAAGGAAGGGTTATCATCCTAGCAGCCATCAAAAATCATCTTAGTTTTGCTGCTCATTTATGAAACCAATGACCCAACACCCCAAGCCTGGAGTTTAATTCAGAACCAATAACAGGAAACCATCCAAGGATATCCTTTGACTGAACTATTTTGGAGAAAGTAACAATGAATGGGCTGAGGGGGGAGTGTTAAATGGAATCCTGAACATTGCTCTCCACAGAGGAAACTTGAACCCTGCACCTAAGGACACATTACCAGCAATAATAGGGGCATGTAAACTGAACAGAACACTGTTCTCCTTTGGGGAGAAACCAAGACAAGAGGCAAGYGGGCGCATAAGCAGGTTTTCAAATAAAAGCACACCACAACTTGCTGACTAGCCAGGAGCCCACGTGCAGGGCAGAAGGTACTTAGAACACTCAGACCCTCCCACCTGGGGGCCCAAAGCAGAAGCAGCAAAAGCAACAGCAGCAGAGTCAAACACGGCACCCGGGAAAGCGCCCCCATATCAATTTTTAATGCCAAGGACGTATCTCAGAGAAATCTCACAAAGAAGGAAAGCACGAAGAAGTGTAAGGCACACAGAGGCACACCCCCACACACCCACACAAATGCACATAGAAGAGAGTGGGACATCTAGGAAGGCGACTTTATCCTACCTTCTCAGTTTTCAGTTTCTTGATTCGCCTGTGGCTCTCCTCCTCCTCCTCTTCCTTCTTTACCAACATAGAGTTTCCCATGAGCCCTGAATCCGGAGCACTTTTGCTAACTTCCCCTGCAGCCGCGACGCTGCCACTCCCAGTGCCCCCGCAGTGGAAGGGGCTCGCGCCACCTCCATTGCTCTTGGCCCCAAAGCCATAGAGGTGCCCCCCGGAAGGGGCCTGGCCGCCACTGCCATTCTGGTGGCCCTGCAGGAGGTCGTGCTTGTCCTTCCTGGATTTCCCCGCATCCTTATCCCGCTTGGCGCCTCGGCTGCTCTGGCTTTTACCTGGCTTCTCCTCTTTGCTTTTCCCACAGGAGCCTGCCCCCGCGGTGGCAGCGGAGGTGCTGGTGCTGGTACTATTGCTGTTTGGGTTGCTGCCGCCGCCGCCGCCGCCGCCGCCGCTGCTCACACTTTGACCCAGCGCTGAATTCATGCCAGTTGCCTCTCCAGGGCGCCCTTGGACTTCCTGCCTCTTGCCAGTGCTGCTGATCTCGGGAATCCCATACAAGGCAGCAGAAGGCAGAGATTTATTAGCATCCTTAGAAGTTTTACTCCTTTTCACTTTTGATTTGCTGGTCTCTTTGTGTGAATTCCCCTGGGGAGCAGAGGGCTGAACAGAAGCAAATTTTAGGCCATCAGCTAAGGCTGCTGTAGCACTGGCCCCACTGGAGGCCGGACCTCCACAATCCTTAGAGCTGCTGCTGCTAGTGGTGTTGGTGGAATTATTCATCTCAAATTTCTGTCTGTCCTTCTCCAAATCAGCGTCCAAATCAATTATTAAATTTCCAACCCCGATTTCCCAATCATCGCCACTGTCATAAGTATCAACTGTATTTGGATCCACACCTTTTCCTGCAGTAGAAATGTTCACTGACATCCTGAAGATGAGCTCTCTAGAATAAAAATCCGATGAACTTTCCTTTGGAGATGAGGGGACATTCGTTTAGCTCCGCTGGGCTTTCTCTTAAAGAAAAAAAAAAAAATCTTCCAATCTTCCTCTTCTTTATCCTGCCCCACGAATGTGTCCAGGGATTTTTACACCCTTCAGTCCAGGTCCACCTTTTCCTGTGAAGGGGGGAAAAGTCGAATATTTCTTGTCTGGGTGTTACCAGAATAAGAAAAGATTAATACTGGGGAGTCAGTAAGGGGTACAGGGAAGGATAGAGAGTAAGGTGCCTCATGTATTGTCTCCACAGTCCAATATCAGGTTTAAAGGAAAATAATCAGACCCAAAAAACAAACCCATGACAGTAAGCATCTTACTAAAATCCCTTTATCAACAACACAAGGATAATCACTTTTTTAAAAAGCATTAAAATATCTTAAGGATCTGATTCAAGTGCAGAAAGGTTTTTGTGGGTTTCTTTTAAGTTTAGAATTCTGTCTGGCACATGTGATATCTCAGCCCCTGAAATACAGCTTGAACACTCAGACAAGAGGAACACAGCATTAAACAGCCCTAAACGTGTCCTAGCTCTTGCAATTTAAAAGACCAGACCCTGGAAGTTTTCTGAAGACTAATTTTCAGAATGATGTTGCTAATTTTTCCTTATTTCTAATTTTAGCACTTCTTTTTACAAATTGTCTGGGCAATCTGGTATTTGTTCCCAGTAAGGAACAGAAAAAAACAACCAATAATCCCCCCACACACATGCATACCTCTCTCCTATCCTCTCTTCCCCAACAGCTTATACATTTTTTTTAAAATACACACATGTCTTCAAGAGCATTTCTCTATATAAAAGACAGTGTTATATAAAAGGTTAAATATTTGCCTTGAGAAAAAAAAATCCATCTAAACAATTCTACTATATCCCTAGGTCACAGAATTGCTCAGTCTGTTAAATATGGTGCTACTGACTGTACAGGGAAACTGATTAAGACATACACTTTAAGTGATCTGCGCCAAGGTGGCCTCAATGACCGCAAATGAGTGTGTGTTTGACAAAGAGCAGTTAAAACGGTTTTTAAAGGGATCAGCCCCTTTTTAACAGTTGATTGTCAAGGAAAAAAATAAATAAATATACATACACACAGAGAGAGAAAAAGAGAGAGAGACAGAGAGAGAGATTGCTTACCTTTAATCCTTTATCATTTTTAATTAGGCCAGCAAATCAAAATGCATTTCCCACTCCACTCGGCAAACAAGCCTGTGCCTCATTTTACTTAAACACCAAATGATCAAGAAGGAAGAAACCAAATAACACATCTCAGCCAGAATAATCACTCGATAACATTATTCCACCTCCCCACCCCCCTCTTTTGGCAAACGGATCAGGAGTCCTTTTCTCCTTAAAAAAATGTGTCACTGTACAGCTGGAAGATAATGTTTCACATTCACAACAGAAGCACCAAAGGTTTTTTTCCCTCTTAACAAGCATCGAGAATAATAGGGTTTAAAAGAGAGAAGAGAGAGAGAAAGAGCTTAGAGAAAAAAGTTTTCCCAACTTCTCATTCCGCCTTCAGTTCCAGACTTCAGAGTCACCGTGATCAGTAAGTAATGATCCCATGTAGCAAACCTACAGGCGTCCGCTAGTAACAAGACAGAATGTGCTAACATCGGGATAAATTAGTGAAAGGGAAGAAAGAATAAGAAGAAAGGACTGAAAATCTGGGCTGGATTCCGCCTGTTAGTCGGGAAGTGGCATTTTTCCGCCCGTCCTGACAGATTTGATTTCTCCAACTAACTTAAGAGACAAGGAGGGGGAAGAAGAATGGAGGGAGGAGGAGGAGGAGAAGGAGGAAGAAAGGGTGGGATGAGAAGCTGAGCCAGAGGAGAAGAAGAAAGGTGTGGAGGAGGAGGGAGCAGACGATTCAGTGAGCTGATAAACCAGTTATAACAGCATTCGCTCGGGGCGGGGGGCAGCCGAGTGGGGGAAATAACGGCGTTTAAAATGGGCTCAGACTTCGAAACCTAAAGGATGTGATGTTTTCCTGTTTTATGTTGTTTTAAGAAAAAGGAACCGGGTTCCTTAGTATAGCCCTGGGGGGGGGCGGGGGCGAGTTAAAATCCTCTGTCGCTCAAGTCCATCAGTCATGTGGTAATTCGATAATTTAAGTTAAAAAAAAAATAAGACGACCTTTTTCAAGACAGTTTTCCCCCCTTACACACGCAGCAAACGGTGCGTCTCCCTTCTATTTATTTTTTTCTCTCCTCCTCCACCTCTCGCCCACCCCCTCCTGTGTTTAGTCAGATGGCCTCGGAGCTTGGCTTAGTATTTTTAATTAGCTGGCGTTTGGAAGCTAAAAGCAGTAATGAATTGTTGATGGATTGGAAGTGGAGAGTCGCTTTGCTGGAAATGTCGGGGCCGGGAGAGGGGGATGGGCGAGTTAGCAACAACCAACCATCTAAAAGGAGCGATTTTGTTACAGTGCAAGCCTTTCACATCACGTGAGGATCAAGGGCTCAATTGGTTGTCGTGAGAACAAAAATGGTGACAAGCGTATCAAGAAAATACTGATCTGGTCTTTAAAAAAAAGCTGAAGGTCTCTCGCCTCCCCCTGCACACACTCCCCCCACCGTCGCCCCCGCCCCCACCCGCAGTGGGCGAAGCTACAAGTTATGAATGTGAAACATTTCTCAGATCTAGGATCTCGGAAGTTCGGAAGGAGTGAAATGTAATGAGCACAAGAGCAAAGCAGATGTTTTAAAGAAACACCTTATAAACCTTTCCTCAACTTATCTCCAATTTGTCGGYTTTCCCAAGGGGCCAGAGACGCGGACGCCTGGGGGAGGGGGACAGCACCTCCGAACTATTAGGATTTTAGGGACCCCTTCATGTATTACACAAAGAAAAAAAAAACATTTTTCTAGCTTTCAAACTGGGTCCTTAAATAAACACACCATTGTTACTATTTGTGGGTTTGTTTGGGTTGGGTGGGGCTTTTTTTTTTTCCTTCTTTTTCTCTTAATGGTGTCTTTGCTGGTTSCTTTTTTTAAGACGGTGGAAAATGGTAGTTATAACCATTATATGTAATGGATGAATGTCCCCTTAATATTAAATTATTGGGCACTAGAATGTGACAGGAGACAAAAATCGGCTTGTTCTGCCCTTGCCCCCATTTTAATGGCTCTGTTTGGGAGGGGATCTGCCCAGCTAGGAAAGGAGAGGAAGAAGGTAAGGTGCGCTAGAGAATTGACACTACGGACCAGGATATGTAACTGTGTCACTTTTATTCTCCTTTGGGTTAGAGCCCAAAAGGTAATTTACTCTAAGTTACCCCGAGTGCCCAGTCAAGCTTAATTTGTGTGAAGAAGTTACAAATGCTTTACCCTCCACTGAATAAAATTCACCCTTCTTGGGTTGTTCTAAATGCAAAAGCCAAATCCTGTAACTAGTTCCTCATTTCAATGCATAAAACTCGCACATTCCCCTGCATGAAGTCCCCGCTAAGTGCTATATAGAGACACACCACGCAACCGTACTTACGGTCTGTATGGGATCGAGTTGACCTTTTCCTTCTAACTGCATTGAATGTGTTTGGTTGCAGCCGCTTTATTTTGGAAATTATAATCTCTTCAACAAATTTTTTATTAAAGAAGATGGACCATCAAATATCACAGACCGTCCTGTGTATTTTTTATAAAAACAAAAAATAAAATTAAAACAAAAAACAAAAATCCCCCTGGTGCACACACACAAGCTTGTTCTGCAATAACTGAAATCAGGACCGAAACACAACACACACACAGGGGGAGTGGAGCAAAAGGAGCTCTCAGCCTCTATACCTGAAAGGGACTTTTCTTTGTTCCCAATGCCCTTTCGCATCGGGCCAATCAGAGAGCAGCTTTTATGAAACTGGGCTCTCTCATTGGCTAGCTGCTTTCTCTTGGCTACTGTAGGGGGTTGAGATATACACACGTATAAAACACACACTGAGCYCGGGTGGGGGTGCGGTGGGGGGTAGTTGTGGAGACAAAGCGTTTTATTTTCCAACCAGATTGGGGTTGAGAAACCTCCCGCAGTAAGAAGGGGGAAAAAAATGGAGCACCCGTTTCAATTACTACATCATTCACATAAAACACTTATTTATTAAAACAAATCTCAAACAGGCTGCGAAAAGAGGATGTCGGTAAATACAAGTTTGATTGTGTTATCTTGGGGGAAATAATGTATGTGATCGCTCGGTGGCAGAGGGAAGCCAAATGAGCCACTAGCGCGTAGCGAGGAGAACAGGGAGGCTGGCTGTGTGGAAATGACTTCGAGCGTTTTGCTGGCTTCCCTTCCTTGTTCCAAGGACTCGGCAGCCGAACTCCCAAGAATGATTTTCTGTATTGCAGCTTCAGGCTCTCAGCCCTCCCCCACCACTTTGCCCTTCTTGCAATTTTTTTTTCCCTGTGTTTTTTGCTCGCTGATTAAATAAGAAAAATCGATCTGGGGGTAAAGGCGGCGGTGGGGAAACAAGTAACCCTTTTGTTTCCAGTCTTCGGGTTTACAACCACTGAAGTGTGAACGCTGGCAACCATTTAGCCAACACTACAGGAACGGTTCTTCCCTTAAATTAGTAACAAACCTTTCCACCTGGTCATAGGAGGCTCCAAAAAATAAAAAATACAATAAGGCCACCGCCAACCATATTAACACCTCGGGCCAGTCTCATATTTTTTTTTTAAATCGATTTGTGGGAGATAAAATATACTAGGAAGATTAACCCCTTAAATAGTCCCAGTCCACATTTTTAAACCATTGGGATTGTTGTAATTCCTCTTTCCCCAAATCTTTAACCCTAACTTGGGAGAGTGGGGTATCTTAGTTCTCTGAATGCTACATCTGCAATCCACAACCCCCATAATTTAGTTTTTATTGTAGGACATATGCAACCAGGTTAATAAGATTCATGACATAGTTAAGAGGTTAATATGCAATAACAAGTTGT